ACTAGAGAAATGCCAACTTTTAAGTATTGAAAAAAATTATCATACTTTATATGAGTATAAATACAAAGTAAATAAGTTGTTCAATCATTAACTAGATAAAATGTTAACGATTGATAAATGATAATTAAGCAAATACATAAATATAATTAATTTTGTTCTGTTCAAACTTTGATATCCGCTAATAATAATACCATGCAATTCTAATTCCATCTAATTGACTATTCAGACTATATAGGTTTTCACACGTCAAACTTGCAGAAACTTTTAAAGAACAATATAACAGAATCTTACTGAGAAATGATAGACAGAAACCAGTGGTAGTCTGTCTTGGAGGAAGTACTGCTCACTCAAGCCATTAGCACAGTAAAAGGACACATTAGCTGTTTCAGCAAACTATTTGGCTGTAGACTTTTGTAAGAGCAAATCAGTGTTTCATTTTAAATGGGAAATATTTTTCAACCATAATTGATAGAGATGTTTCGGAGAGTGCCGGCAATGACACTTTAACAGACAGCTATGATAAGAAACTGTCTGCTTGGTAAAATATTGAACCAAATAGTTTCTTCAGTAGTTTTTTCATTTGTGTATTAATATATAATGTCCCGGCTAACTTGTTACTTTCTTGAATATCATATATCCTTTTTTGTCTCATTTTTATATATCATTGAGCCCATTTCATTATTCAGTATGGGTATACTTAAATTGTGTAATATCTTCTGTTTTAACTTTGCAAATACTTTACTTTGCCTAAGATTAGTCCCTAGCGGACTAGTTCGAGCATGGTCGTTTTAATTGTATATGAAAATTACTACAAAAGTAGTCGAAGTAGTTTACATCAACTACTCCAAAATTAATCGGTGTAGACTAGTTAATGCATAGTGAGTTCTTGTTGTTCTCTACCACTCTTTAAGAGGAGTCCAAACTCATTGTATCACTCAGTAGCTAATTGATACCTACAGAAAAATTTTTGGCAGTAGAAACAGAAAATTAGTAGTCAAAGATAAATCAGATGAAGCCAAAGCAAACTCCAATCACATATATTGATGTTATTAACTGACGGCTTTGCTTGTTATTCAAAGTATTTATTGAATTATTTTTAAATAAGAAAAAAAATATTACCGCCACTCATCACAAAAAAAAAAAAATTCAAAGTAATTTAATA